TCATGCTCTCTCTCTGTCTCAAAAATAAATAAACGTTAAAAAAAAAATTTAAAAAAATAAATAAATAAATAAAATCTGAAAAAGTTATAGAAGTATCTGTATAAAGACTCCTCATCCACATTTTTAAACTTACCTGTAATAATAAAAATAAGCAGCTTAGGCCTGTTGGCTCTCTGCTCATTGAAGAGGTTAGTCCAGGGCCCACATTTTAGAACCTGGGTTTCAACTCCACAACATAAAATGAATTCCTCATGCACAGGAACTTCCTCCTTGATACTGGAGTCCATTTCTAAATGAGAGGAGAAAAACAATAAAATGAGTTGCTAAAATGTAAAACCTTGGGCCAAAGACAATATTCAAGAATTTTTTTAAAAAGGCAAATTTCAATAAACACAAGCATATACGGTAGGTATATGACCACTCATCTATTCTGGATTATAGGATCACACACACACAAAATTAAAACAAACCACAAGAGTAAGGAGAAACAGGGAGACACATCTTCAGTGAAGTGAAAGACTTCACAGGAGTATGAATCAGGATCACATTAGCCAGAGATCCTGCTAAATATCCTATAACACCTAGGATAACACTCACAACAAAAAAATTATCTAGCCCAAAAGTCAACAGCGCCAAGATTGAAAAGCCAAACCAAACCAAACAAAACCCTACTCTAATACTAGGTGCCTATAGAGTACAGTTTGTCCAGCATTTGGTTGGCTGCAATGTGTTTCTTCTTTCTCTAGCTCTCTATTCTGGCAGCAGCAGCAATGTAGCAAGAGTCCCAGATAACACCTCAGACCAGGTGGCTGCTCCCTGCACCCTCTCCTCAGCTCACATGCACACTGAAGAGCCAGCCACCTGACCTCTGTCACACACAGTAGGCTGGATGTGCCTTGCCCAATAGAGCTCTGGGTTGCTTAAAAAAAAAGGAAGCTTCTTCAACTCCCCATTCCAGCAGTAACCAAAGCAGTGTTCCAACTTCCTCTGTACCTGCCTATCAGCCTCAACTCACTTGGAGTTGCTCCTGTGGCCCTTTCATGCAGGCACCACATGCTCCAGACCTCACACCTACACCAGCACCCTGGTTCACTCTGCACACCCTCCCACCAGTCTTGGTTCACGTCCTGACATGGCAACTGTGGATCAGCTTTGGCGCAGGCAACCACCAACTTTCTCTACCACACACTGGGCTGCAACCACACCTTTTAAATAAGATCTAAACCCACGTTCCCAGTTTGTCTCTTCTTGGGTACTTTCTCTCATCCCTAGGGGATCTTTAGAGTTTTCTTTATACAGTAACTTTATAGTTTCTCTTCTTCCACAGCTTAATAATTCCTTATGTTAAATTAACCATGTGAGTTACTGTGTGGCTTCTGTCTCTTGAATGGATCTAGATTGATACATCCTGCATTGTCTATCCAGATTTTTTTCTTCAAATCTTTCCCATCTTAGACGTAGCTCAAATCCTACCTCCTACTTGAGGTCTTCCCTGAACTCCTCAAATAAACTCTAAACTCACAGCACCTTTCTTTAACATAAGTCAACAGTGGTAAAGGTAACCAGGTAAACTTCACCTGGTAATCTATGCACTTGTTATTCATGTCATGCCATACTCTCATAGCACAACAGTCAACAAACTCACTACCGGCACCACCCAAACCTCCCCAGATTGACAGCCACCTTAGGTTAAGGTAAGGATTGGACACAGGAAGGAAGAAAACATTAACATACACCCCAATCTCCATGTGTAACCCAAAGTCTAAAACTTTCCCAAATAAAACGACTCAGAAAATAAAAAAATTATTACTCAAAAAGTGGGGACTCCTCTTCATTCAAAATAAATTGACTAAATAAACGAAAGTATCATCTCACATTTTCTTAAGTATCGATCTTTAGTTCACTAATACATGTCACTGTACTCCAATCTCTGAAACTGTCACAAAACAGAGTATATTTATAAAGCTCTTATGACATTTATAAAATGTTGGAAACAATGAGATTTAACTGTTCTATACTACATTAAATTAGAGCACCATCCAAGAAGACACTGGATAAACCGCATACTTGCACTAGAAGAGAATCCAAAGTTATTAACTATATTCTATTCATAAATACTTAACTTCAAGCAAATGACATGTTGGGAGTTTGATTAGCCACAAAATTAATGAGAATTCAAATAGATAAGAAACTCAAACACAGTCTATAAAATCTGGAAAACAAAAAAATTAATTACACCTCTAAAATACCTCAAATAAAATACAACTAAGAGACCTGGAGTAAACCTATGTATTACAGAGCATCTTTTTTTTTTTTTTAATTTTTTAATGTTTTTATTTATTTAAAAAAATTTTTTTAATCTTTATTTTTGAGAGAGAGAGAGAGAGAGACAGAATGTGAGCAGGGGAGGGGCAGAGACAGAGGGAGACACAAAATCTGAAGCAGGCTCCAGGCTCTGAGCTGTCAGCACAGAGCCCGACGCAGGGCTTGAACTCACAGTCCGCGAGATCATGACCTGAGCTGAAGTTGGACGCTGAACCGACTGAGCCACCCAGGCGCCCCAACAGAGCATCTTTTAATTTTACTCACACTTATGTTTCTGATTCCCACATAGCCAAAAATAATAATAATAATAATAGTAATAATAAAAAATAAATAAATAAATGAAAAGCAAAGGAAACCCTAACAATAAGAAATTTCAAGTTCTTCCTTACCTAAGAATCCAAGGTGATTTGGTCTGCAAACAAGTGTCCAATTAAGAAGGGACAATGTGTTCTAAGTATATAATAGTAGAGGCTGATGGCCCTACCTACAAACACAGCCTATAAGCAATCTTAAATGAAATCAGTTTTGATAACCAGCAAGACTTAGGGTGGATAAAAACCAAGTGTGAATACAATTTGTGTAACTTAGGTAAGCTTTACTTACCTAAATATAGGTGTTCATCTGTTTTTATTAATGGGTTTAATTTTATTTAGAAAAAAAAATTTCCAATTAAATCTTACACAAACCTAGACAATATATAAAACAGAAAAGCAGCATTTGATCAATATAAATTTTACAGTTCAAATTTATAATATTTATTTATTATAAAGTCAGCCGGTGAGACAGTGAAGCTACATTAATGAACAAAAATATTTGCAAGTGGAGTTATAAATGAGTCTCATTTAGCTTTAGCATCCAAATCCAAACAACATTCGCATTTCATTTTGGCTACTCAATAAGAATTCTGCTTTATTCATGCATGTAATAACTGCAAATGATAGAAGTATTTTTAAAAAACTTGTGTCATACAAAACAAAACACAATAAGGTATCACCTCACACCTGTCAAAATGGCTAAAATTAACAACACAGAAAACAAAAGATGTTGGTGAGGATGCAGAGAAAGAAGAACCCTCTTACGATCTTGGTGGGAATACAAACTGGTACATCTACTCTGGAAACAGTATGGAGGTTCCTCAAAAAATTAAAAGTAGAGGGGTGCCTGGGTGGCTCAGTGGGTTGAGCGTCCGACTTTGGCTCACGTCATGATCTCACGGTTTGTGAGTTCAAGCCCCACAGCAGGCTCCGTGCTGACAGCTCAGAGCCTGGAGCCTGCTTCGGATTCTGTTTCTTCCTCTCTCTTTCCCTCTCCCCTGCTCTCACTCTGTCTCTCTCTCTCAAAAATGAATAAAAGTTAAAAAAAAAATTAAAAGTAGAACTACCCTATGATCTAGCAATCGTATTACTAGGCATTTACCCAAAGGATACAAAATACTGATTTGAAGGGGCACATCCGCCCCGATGTTTATAGCTCCATTATCAATAATAGCCAAATAATGGAAAGAGCCCAAATGTCCATCAGCTGATGAATGGATAAAGAAGTTGTGCTATATGTATATAATGGAATATTACTTAGCTATAAAAAAGAATGAAATCTTGCCATTTCCAATGACATGGATGGAGCTATAGGATATGCTAAGCAAAATAAGAGAAAGACAAATACTATGATTTCACTCATATGTGGAATTTAGAAAATGAAACAGATGACAGGGAAAAAGAGGCAAATCATAAAACAGACTCTTAACTATAGAGAATAAACTGAGAGTTGGAGGGAGTTGGGTGGGGAATGGGCCAAATGAGAGATGGGTAGAAGGAGGGCACTTGCTGTGATGAGCACAACCAAATATGTGTTGCAATGTCCAGATAGTCTTCAATTAAAGTACACTAACTTTGAAACAGAGGTAGTAAGATGATTTTCTTTCAGAGTTAAAACACTAGGGCTGTGTTAATGTCCCACAACTACACAGAGCAGAGCATATACTTTGCATGCACCTGAGCCCTGACTGACAGTTAATTAATGATGTTTCTGGGCACTAGTACTAAAACTACTTGTAGAATATTTAGTGACTAAACAAGTGAAAATTGAATTTTTTAAGTCCCAGTGATGAGATGTAAAATTTGTAATTGTTTTCAAAACACAACATAAGAAGTACAAATATGTACAAAAACAGCAGCAGAAGCTTTATTTAAAGTTCTGTTAAGTTTTTAGTTACTCTATTAATGAATGTTAACATACTGGAGAACTCTATGAATCTGGTGAGTCTGGGGGTTGTTTTAAATTTAGTTTAAAACGTACATTAGAATTAAGTTCAATCCCATGTTAGCAAGGAAAGCCTTGCTTGTGTTGAAACCATATGAAAAGCTAGAGAAAAAACAGTACTGGAAAAAAAATCTGTTAGAAAAATCAGTAACCAATAAAAGAACTGCTCAAGAATGTGTAATAAAAGAGGAAATAGAGAATATAATTAATATAAATATAAGAAGAAAGCAGAGAAGTAATACAGACCAAGTGTAACAAATAAATAAAAAAAAACCAGTAAAACTACTTAAGCCCAAATATAACAGTAATAAATTAAATGTAAATAGACCAATTACATTAATTAGATAAAGGCAAAGATGATCAGATTGGATAAAAATAAAACAAGTAATTGTGTGCTACTTATAAATAATACACATTAAGAATAAGGATACATAATGTATAAAAGTAAAAGGATGGAAACAATAAACCATGGAAACACTAATCAAAGAAGAGATGGTATAGTTATACTGAAGTCAGATTTAAAAAGTAAACTTTAAAGTAAGAAGCACATGAGACATAAACAGGAACATTTCAAAAAGTCAATCCACCAGGAGACCATAACAATTCTAAACAAGTACGTACATAATATTTTAGCCTCCAGAGATAAATTAAAAATTAGCAAATGTAAAGGGAGAAATAGATTGGACCACAATCGTGGTAGAGG